TTTTTTCGTAATTACCACTGGTCAGGGCTGCACGGGAGGCTTTGGCTACATATTCAAAAGCTTCCTTTTTATTTCCCTGTTGTGATGACACGTCTGCCAGGTTGGTGAAAACGGTAGCCTCATGATAGCTCATAATAGGAGAGTTACTCTCTCTTATAATACTGTAGGCCCTTAAAAAATAACTTTTAGAAGAGTCTACCAGTCCCATCTTCTTAAGTGTATTACCCATATTATTGAGGGTTCTGTCTAAAGATACCTTCTCATCAAGAGTTAAGGTGAATTTTTCTACCAGGCCATGGTAATACAAAGCGGAATCATATTGCCGGTTGTCGTCAAAGTTTATAGCAATAATGTTAAGCGCGTCAATATAGAGCCAGGGCTTCGTTTCTTGTAAGTTCCGGGCAACCCGAAGTGCATGATAGCCGTATTTTTTACCTTCCTCGAAATCCTCAAAATCATGAAAAATATTGGCCAGGGAAACGTAGGTGCCTGCCAGCAGAGCAGAGTCGCTCATACCTTCCGCCAAATCAAGTGCTTTAAACATATTTTCGGCCGCAGACTGAAAGTAACCGGCATCCTGATAGTACATACTCATATTACTATAAAGGTGGTATAGGTACGTGGAGTCTGAGGTTTTCCACTGCTGCCTCTCGGCCATTTCAAAAAAGTGCTTGGCCGAATCCATTTTATGCTCATAGATCATGTGCATAAAAAAGGCACTGCGGCCCAGGTGCCTCGGGTTATTGGAAATTTTCAGGCTTTTGCGGAAATGGAACTCTCCGGCACTGTCATTTTCCTGCAAAGGGTAGTACAACCACCCTATCTTCATATGAAGATAGCCATTCAGTGAATCGGAATTAGCGGGGTTTTGAAGTACTGATTTTAAAGAATCAATGCTTTGGGAATAAGCCAAGCCACAACCCCAAAAAAATAGTAGCCAACATACTGCACGCCAATTCACCCCTGAAATGATATTAATATTCTGACCTGCCAATGTACCGTTTACCCTGGAGTGGGCTATCCGTAATTATACGTAGTTCAAATACAGTTAAGAAGGTACTTTATTTCTTCTTGAATTTTTCAATGGCTTTTTTGGTAAAGTCAGAAAGCACCAGTTTTCCGCTCAGGGCGGCACGTTCTGCCAACAACTCATCCCAGTTTTCTGTACCTTTCCAAAACACTTCTTTCAGCAGTCTCATTGCTTCCGGGTTAGACGTTCTCAGCTTAGCAGTAAGAGCCTGAATCGCTTCATCCATAGCTTCAGCGGTATCAAAAACAGCATTATACAACCCTCTTTCATGGGCCCAGGCCGCACTACGCCATTCCGTGGCATTAATAGCCAGGTCACTCATCCCGCTGGTGCCCAGCTTACGCTCTACCGCAGGGCCCACCACAAACGGACCGATACCTACGGCCAGCTCTGATAGTTTTACATCTGCGTATCGGGTTGCAAAACAATAATCTACGGACGAAGCCAAGCCTACTCCACCACCCACAGCCTTGCCCTGCACCCTTCCTATTATAAGCTTAGGACACTTCCGCATAGCGTTTATTACGTTAGCGAAGCCACTAAAGAATTTCTTCCCGGTATCCAGATCATTAATAGAGATCAGCTCATCAAAAGAAGCTCCTGCGCAAAAAGCACGCTCACCCGCTGATTGCAACACTATAACTTTAATGGCATCATCTTTTCCGGCCTCAGTTACAGTATCCGCCAGCTTAGCCAGCACTTTTCCCGGTAATGAGTTACTCAGGGGGTGGAAAAATTCAATATAGGCTATTTGATCTTTTAACGTTAGGCTTACATCGCCCTGCTGTATGGCGTCAGTCATAATAAAGAGATTGTATTCAGGCTCAAAAGTAAGGCTTATGGCCTAAGGTGAAGAACGGTCTTTAGTGGAAGTTCCGAAAACACCGAGTCGCCTGGCCTTCTCACGCCAGCTTTTACGGGCATGCTCCTGAAGATCAGATGTTTTATCAAACTCATCTATTATCTCATAACCCAGAAGGGTTTCCAGCACATCTTCCATGGTAACTATACCAGCCGTGCCACCGTACTCTCCCTTTACCAGGGCAATATGGTGACGGTGTTTGATCAGAAAATTATAGAGGTCGTAAATACTTTTGTCTTCGTTTACCACCGGCAGTTCTCTTTTGATATCACACAGCAGCATATCTTCTTCCTTTTTAGAAAGGTTAAGCATGACATCATTCTTATGGATAAACCCGCTTACATCGTCTTTAGACTCTGTGTATAGAGGCACCCGCGATATCTGGTCAAAAGAATCATCTTTAAAAAAATCACGGATGGACATCTTCTCATGGGCTACCACCATCATGGTACGGGGGGTCATGATATCCCGTACCATGGTTTTGCGAAGGTTGATCAGGTTCTTCAGAATGGCGGCTTCCTCTAAGGTAAACACTCCTTCTTTCCGGCCTACTTCTGCCAGGGCCGTGATCTCACTCCGTTCAATTGAAGGTTCGTTTTTCTTTTTAAACAGACGGGTTAAGCGTTCCGACAGCCATACCAGAGGGTACATGGCTATAGTAAGTACAGAGAGGCTGCGTGTGGTAAAATAAGCGAGGTTTCGCCAATAACCGGCTCCCAGGGTTTTGGGAATGATCTCCGAAAAAATAAGGATCAGCAAGGTTAAAACCCCTGAAATAACACCTACTGAAACGTTGGCAAATACAATCCCCGCCTGGGCACCAACCCCTGCGGCACCCACGGTATGCGAAATAGTATTCAGAGATAAAATGGCCGACAGAGGGCGGTCAATATTGGATTTAAAGTGAAATAACCTGTGCGCCCATTTCTTGTTCTGTTGCAGTTGCGTTTCAATATAACTGGGGGTGATACTCAGCAATACTGCCTCCAGGATGGAGCAGAAGAAGGAGACCACCAATGCCAGCAGTAAATAAAAAATAAGTAAGGCCATACTTTATAGTATGCTTAATTAGCAAGTAAAAGCCAGGATTGTTCTTACTAATCTATAAGGCTTTTGTCATTTCTTCAAAAACCCGGGACGACTCTACCGTACAGATCATGGAATGGTAGTAACTATACCACGCTTTTGGAGCCCGGCTCTTTGCCTCGCGGTGTGTATTAAAGTCACGCCACCGGGCAATAGCCTCATCGGTTTGCCAATAGCTGATAAATATACCCTGGTTGGTTTTGCTTATGGATGAATACCCTAAAAACCCTTCATAATTCTGAACTTCATTCATCAGCAGTTCGTCCATTTTATGATAGTCTTCCTTTACCTCTCTTTTAACGGAGATGAAAATAACGGCTTTAAAAGGAGCCTCTGGTGCCTGCCCGGTTTTCCAGTGTGTGATCATAGTACAAAAATAGTTTTCCCGTCTTACTCATTCACATAGGTGAAACCTTTAATAATTTTTATTTCCGAATCGTTTAAGATATAAGCTGGAAGTTCTTCCTTTCCTTCCAGAACCGCAATTTTGCGATTTTTTAATTTGAGTTCAACCACCTGATCCGGACCGGGGTAATTATTGTATACCGGTACTCCGGTATAAAACATAGCGTCTACAATATGTAAGCCTCCAACGTTAAACAGCACAAAGTCTTTTTCAAGCTTAAGATTCGATAGCAATTTTTTATTGTGAGTCATCGCTTTAGCATGGCCAAAATCTTCGGTTATCTCATGGTGTTTTTCAATGTCTGATACTGAAAAGCGTGTGAGTATAAGCAGTAATGCCACTAAGCCAACTCCCAGGTTCCGGTATTTACTTAGCACCGGAAGCATACACACAAACTGAAGGAGGCAGTAACAACCATATGCTATAGCCAAAATTGCCACAAACCAGCCGGCCAATGTAAACGAGGGCATTTTTGAAAGAGCCAGCGAAAAGAAAAGGAATTGTAGCACATAAGCCCCTGCCAAAGCCCGGTTTAATGTCCTGTTTTTCCTGGTAAAAAAGAAAAGGAGTAGGCCAACAATCAAAATAAGCGGGTGAATTATATTCAGATTATTGCTTATCTGATCATAATGATAGAAGAAGGTGGTGTTGTGATTGTGATCAAGGGGTTTAAAAAGGTGCTCCAGGTTGTGTGCCTGTTCTTCTTCAAACTCTTTCGGGAATTGCTGTGAAGTATATATCTGCCAGGGTAAAAAAACGGCAATGGTAATACATAGAGACAGCGCCATATTTTTCCACTCCCTGTACCTTGCTTTTCCCACAGCCAGACTATACAGGCCCCATACAGCGTATACTAAAAGGCCAACCAACCATTTACACAATATAGCGGCACCCGAAAAAACACCTATCCATAGTATCCAGCTCTTTTTACCGGAAGTATAATATTCAATAAAAGCCCAACAGCTTAAGGATATATAGGCAATAAAAGCTACATCATTCTGATCCGTTTGACCCCTTCCGCTTACCAAATCAAGCCAGTAAACGGATGAAAGCATCAGGGTGGCGGCAATAAAACCAAGCTTGCGGTTAAATAAGAGGCTCCCGCTCCTGAACAAAGCAACCACCGTTAAGGAGCTCATTATAACCCCGGGTAGTCGCATAGCATACAGGTTAGCACCAAAAAGCTTCATACTTAAAGCCATTTGCCACATGAATAAAGGCTGTTTATGAAGCCAGACATGTCCCTTAAACCAGCCTGAATACTCCTGATCCAATACCGGATCAGCGTATAGCATGGGTTTAAAGGGGTGATCTATCATGTTTTTGGCTACCAAAGCATGGTATCTTTCGTCCCATACATTTAGAAAGTCATCCAAAAGAGCACCGTAGGAATACACCAGAATTCCGGAAACAAAAAGAAAGAGACTACTAAGGCTGTTGTTCTTAACCAGAAAGGCAAAGCTCAGGATAAAACTCAAAAGAGATCCCAAAAGCAGAGAATCCTTCAGGTCAGGCATTACAGCCATTTTTTAGGCGAACATCATATCCAACTTCTTTTCTCTTTGTAGAAACCCTTCCCGGTACCATCCATAGATACACAAAGCTGTTTCGCCTGATCAATGGGTTTGATCCAATTTCTTAACCATGGTAAGGATAGTGGCCAGAGCCACGGTTTCGCCTTCCCCATCGTATACATCTACATTGAATTTTACGATGCCCTTGGCTATATCCTCCTCGCTCTTTTTTTCTTGGTCTATCTTCTCCTTTACGGTAAACTTCACGCCAATGGTCATACCCGGATAAACGGGTTTGGTAAAACGGCATTCATCAATACCGTAGTTGAGCAATACGGGACCCTTGCGGGGATCTACAAACATACCGGCTGCCTTAGAAAGTATGTAGTAACCGTGGGCTACCTTACCTTCAAAGATGGTTCCTTCCAGGGAAGTTTCATCCACATGAGCATAAAAATTGTCACCACTCACCTGCGCAAAACTGGCAATATCTGCATCGGTAACGGTATGACGGTGGGTGTATACGGTATCTCCCACTTTAAGTTCCTCGAAATGGTGACGGAAAAGGTGTTTTTCCACTTCCGGGCGGGAAGCTCCGGGCTGGTAGACCTGGGTAATCTCGGTAATGCTATCCGGGTGTCCTTGGATAGCGGTGCGCTGCAGGTAATGCAGTATACCGCGCTTTCCGCCCATTTCCTCACCGCCTCCCGCGCGGCCGGGACCACCATGGGTAAGTAATGGCATAGGCGAACCATGACCGGTACTCTCTTTAGCCGATTTGGCATTCAGCACTAAAATACGACCGTGCATATGAGCCGCCTCTACCGCAAACGCACGCCCAATTTTATCATCAGCGGTAATGATGGATGAAACCAATGATCCTTTACCCATATTGGCCAGTTCAACCGCTTCATCCAGGTCTTTGTAGGGAAGAAGACTGGACACCGGGCCAAAGCATTCTACCTCGTGCACATCGGTATTTTTAAAAGGATCGTTATTCCGGAAAAGCACCGGAGCAGCAAAGGCTCCTTTTTCCTTATCGCCCCCCGCCAGGTCGTAATCACGGAGATCTCCGTACACCACTTCCTGTTGTTTTTTAAGGCGCTCTACATTTTCAATAAGGCGCTCCACCTGTATTTTAGACGCTAAGGCACCCATGCGTACTTCTTTATTACGCGGATCACCGATCACGGTTTTCTTTAGTCTCTCGGTAAGCGCTTCCTGCACCGCATCCATCCTGTTTTCAGGAACCAATATCCTGCGCACAGCCGTACATTTTTGTCCGGCCTTGGTGGTGATCTCGCGTTGCACTTCCTTCACAAAAATGTCAAACTCAGGCATACCGGGCTCCACATCAGGACCCAAAACTGAAGCGTTCAGCGAATCGGCTTCCAGGTTAAAAGTTACCGAGCGGTCAATGATATGAGGCAGGGCTTGTAGCTTTTTACCCGTAGCGGCTGAGCCGGTAAAGGTTACGGTATCACCCGTTTGAACGTGATCAATTATACCACGCCCTAAACCGGAAACCAATTGCAGGGAACCTTCCGGTAATATTTTGGAATCGATGATGGCCTTCACCATATGCTCGGTTAAAAAGGAGGTGTATTCCGAAGGCTTTACCACAGCCGGAACTCCGGCCATCAGGTTTACAGCAATCTTTTCCAGCATTCCCCATACCGGGAAGTTAAAAGCGTTTATGTGCACGGCTACTCCCCGTTTAGGCACCATAATATGGTGACCGATAAAGGTTCCTTCTTTGGAAAGGGCTGCGGGCTGACCATCCACATGATACGGCAGGTCTGGAAATTGCCTGCGCAGGGAAGCATTGGCAAAGAGGTTACCGATACCGCCTTCAATATCTACCCAGCTATCAATTTTAGTAGCCCCGGTACGGAAGCTGGTTTCGTAAAACTGACCTTTCACTTCAATTAAGTGCAGGGCCAGGGCTTTAAGCATACGCCCTCTTTCCTGAAAGGTCATTTTGCGGAGGGTCTTCCCTCCTTTTTCGCGACCGTATTGAAGGATGGCTTCATAATCCAGCCCGGCACTGGACACTATACCAATATCTTCACCGGTGATGGCATCTTTGGCAATAAGTTCTTCGCCTTCGCCTTTGGTCCATTCACCGAGTACGTAGTTCTGTATATGTTGCATGGTATGTCTGAAATTTTGAGGTGGGTAAAGATAACAGGATGATCCGTGGCGTGCAATGCACGTATAAGTCTTCCATTTGCGAATGTACTTTGCTCGTTTTTTCAACTCCCCCATAAGCCACTAAAACTATTTTCATAGATTAGCTTTTGATAAAGTGTACTAAGTACAATATCCCGCACTCAATACTAAACAGAACTATGACAAACCAACAAGCTTCGGCCAGTAAATCATCGCGTTATATACTGGCAGCCACGGTTGTGGCCACTTTAGGAGGTTTCCTCTTTGGGTACGATACCGGTGTAATCGGTGGTTCCCAATTGTATTTCACCGAATTTTTTGAGTTCACCAAAGCCCAGCAGGGGTGGGCGGTAAGCAGTGCCCTTTACGGATGCCTGGTAGGAGCGCTCATGGCCGGTTACATTGCTTCTACATTTAGTCGTAAAAATGCGTTGATATTCTCAGGATTGTTATTTGCTGTTTCGGCCTATGGCTCCGGTATTCCGGATACACTTACCGAACTGGTGATTTATCGCCTTATCGGAGGCCTTGGGGTAGGTATTGCCTCCATGACAGCTCCCATGTATATTGCAGAGATAGCCCCGCCTAAAAGCCGTGGTAAACTGGTGTCCTATTATCAGCTGGCCATTGTATTGGGTTTCTTCCTGGTTTTTGTAGCTACTTATTTTATCGGAGGGGGAAACACGGCTAAGTTAAGTCCCGGAGAACTGGAAGCTATACACACCTATAATGTGGAAGAAGGCTGGCGCATTATGTTCTGGTCTGAACTTATACCCGCATCGCTCTTCTTCCTGTTGCTGTTCTTTGTGCCCAACTCTCCCCGTTGGCTGATGATTAAAGGCCGTGATGAGGATGCTAAAAAAGTGCTCGCCCGAATAACTGTTAGCCCGGAGGAAGCGGAGCGCGAATACAATGAAATTCACAAGTCTATACACGAAAAGAAAGAACTCCAGAAAGTTTCGGTCTTTTCCAAAAGTGTGCGCAAGATCCTTTTGATCGGTATCGCTCTTTCGGTATTGCAGCAGGTTACCGGTATTAACGCTATTCTTTATTACGGTGCAGAGATCTTCAGTAACGCACTGGGCTATGGCCCTGAAGATGCTCTGAAGCAACAGGTATTGCTGGGTGCCGTAAACCTGGTGTTCACTTTTGTAGCTATTTACCAGGTGGATAAATGGGGTAGAAAACCCCTGCTTATTGCCGGTACCACCGGTATGCTGCTCGGTCTGTCTACCCTGGGTATTTCCATTTATATGGATCGTATGGGAATCATTTCACTAATCGGTATCCTTGTATTCATCGGTTCCTTTGCCTTATCCATGGGACCAGTGGTATGGGTACTCCTCTCCGAAATATTTCCCAATAAGGTGCGTAGCGCAGCCATGTCCATTGCGGTAGGCGCCCAATGGTTATTCAACGCCATAGTGGCTAATACTTTCCCTATTATTGTAGGAAGCGATATCAACGCCACCGCATTTAACGGGGCGCTTCCCTACTTCATCTTTGCTTCGCTCTGCTTGGTCACTATACTGTTTGCGTGGCGGGTGGTACCTGAAACCAAAGGAAAAACATTGGAGGAAATGGAAAACCTGCTGGCCATTCCCGAAGCTGAAGAATAAAAAACTTAAAGCTACACTCCCATGAATAAAATATGGATGTTCCTGGTTTTGCTCGGTTTAGCGGCATCCTGTGCCAACCCGCAGGAACCAGCCACTGAAGAACCGGAGGAAAGCCAAAAGCCCAACATCATTTTTATCATGACCGATGATCATGCCTACCAGGCCATTAGCGCCTATAATCAAGGTTTGATCGAAACGCCCAATATTGACCGCCTGGCCCGTGAGGGTATGCTTTTTCAGAGAGGGTTTGTAACTAATTCCATATGTGCACCCAGCCGTGCAGTGGCCCTCACCGGAAAGTTCAGCCACGTGAATGGCCTCAAAGACAATCTGGATACTTTTGACAGCACGCAGGTAACTTTCCCGCGTTTATTACAAAAGGAAGGGTATAAAACCGCGGTGATTGGTAAATGGCACCTAAAAACCCAGCCCATGGGCTTTGATTACTGGAAGGTGTTGCCCGACCAGGGACAATACTATCACCCGGAGTTCCGTACCAAAAACGGTATGGTTAAGGAGCAGGGTTACGTAACGGATGTGGTGACGGATATCTCCATGCAATGGCTGGATTCGGTACGTCAGGGTGACGAACCCTTTTTACTGATGTACCAGCACAAAGCCCCGCATCGTGAATGGTGGCCCAACTTACCGGATATTGAAGAATTTACCGGCAAGGAGTTTCCCGAGCCGGCCACTTTGTTTGATGACTATGAAGGTCGCGGACGGGCCGCTAAAGAAACCGAAATGACCATCCATACCCACATGGCGCTGAGCAGCGATAACAAGGTCCACCCGGACATCGTAAATAAGCTGGGTTACAAATCATTCATGAACTGGTACCAGCGCATTCACCTGGAGCAGTACAACCGCCTGAGTGACGAAGAAAAGGCCAAATGGGATAAATACTACGGCCCCATCAATAAAGATTTTGAAAAGCTGGCGCCCCAGGGGAAGGAGCTTACCCAATGGAAATACCAGCGCTATATGCAGGATTACCTGGGCACCATTCGATCGGTAGATGATAATGTGGGCCGCTTGCTGGAATACCTGGACAGCACCGGACTGGCAGAAAACACCATTGTAGTGTACACTTCCGATCAGGGGTTTTACCTGGGTGAGCACGGCTGGTTTGACAAGCGCTTTATGTATGAAGAGTCTTTCCGCACACCTTTAATTGTACGCTGGCCCGGTAAGATCAAAGCCGGAACGGTGGACAAACACCTGGTGCAAAACCTGGACTTTGCCCCTACCTTTTTGGATGCAGCCGGAGTGAACGTACCTGAAGATATGCAGGGCCGTAGCCTGCTGCCGGTTTTTGCTGAGGAAGCTGACGACTGGCGCGATGGCCTGTACTATCATTATTATGAATATCCCGGTTTCCACATGGTGAAGCGCCATTACGGAGTGCGTACCGATCGCTACAAGCTTATTCATTTCTATTACGACATTGACGAGTGGGAACTGTACGATCTGGAGAAAGATCCGCAGGAAATGAAAAACCAGTATGATAACCCTGAGTATGCCGACATCCAAAAGAAACTGCACGGACAACTCAGTGAGTTGCGTGAACAGTATATGGATAATGATTCCGTAACACAGGCCATGCTCAATGCGGATATTGAACGTGCCAAACGCAAGTCCATCTACAGTAAATAAATCTCACATGAAGCCTTTTGTGCTATCCCTTTGTATTGCCCTGCTTGTTGGTGCTTGTAAAACCGCACCTGAAATGCCAACGGCCAAAGCTCTTTCTTCCCCTTCCGGTGAACTGAAATTACACTTTGCCCTTTCCGAAAACGGAACTCCGCACTACAGTGTGGATTTTAAAGGTGAAACGGTTATTGATACTTCCATGCTGGGCTTTAGTCTTGAAAATGCTCCGGCCATAGCTGGTAATTTTGAGATCGTAAAAGCCGAGAGCCATGAAGAAGATGAGCGTTGGGAAATGCCTTGGGGGGAGCAATCCAAAGTGCGCAACCACTACCACGAACTTAATGTGGAACTAAAAGAAAAAGGGGAGAACGGACGACCCATGAAGCTGTATTTCCGGGCCTATGATGACGGGGTGGCATTTCGTTACGAACTCTCCAAAACGGATAATGCCGATACTTTACTGATCACGGATGAAAATACCGAGTTCCAGCTCACCGGAGATCATACCACCTGGTGGACCCCGGGCGACTGGGATATCTACGAACACTCCTACAACGAAACGAAATTCAGCGCGGTAGACGCTATTTCCAAGCGTGACCATCCCAACCTGGGGCAAACCTACATTCCGGAAAACTCCATGAACACCCCGGTGACCATCAAAACTGCGGAGGGTGTATACCTGGCTTTCCACGAAGCTACATTGTTTAACTACAGCGACATGACGTTACGTGCGGATGCGGAAAACCTGAAAATGACCAGTGGTTTAGTGGGCTCCGATCGCACTTCCTACAAAGCCAAAGTGGCGCTGCCTTTTACTACGCCTTGGCGGGTGATCCTGATTACCGATGAAGCCACGGATCTGCTGGATTCCAAAACCGTACTGAACCTCAACGAACCCAATAAGCTGGGTGACGTAAGTTGGTTTAAACCTACCAAATACGTGGGTATCTGGTGGGTGATGCACCTGGATATCAACTCCTGGGACTTGGGCACCGGCCGGCATGGCGCTACTACCGAAAGAGCAAAAGAATACATTGATTTTGCGGCTGAGAGTGGCATTGGAGGCGTACTGGTAGAAGGGTGGAACATTGGTTGGAACGGCTGGAAGAACGCCCGCTTTACCAAACCCTATCCGGATTACGATATTGAAGAAGTAGTGCGTTACGGCAAGGAAAAAGACGTTGCGATCATCATGCACCATGAAACCTATGCGGACCCGGCCAATTACGATCGTCAGCTGGACAGCGCCTTCCAGTATATGCAAGACCTTGGGCTACACGTGGTGAAGACCGGTTATGTAGGCCACATCAAAACCAAAGGAGAATACCACCACGGCCAGTATATGGTGAATCATTACAACCGCGTATACGAAACAGCCGCTAAGTATGAAGTGGCCGTAAACGCCCACGAGCCCATTAAGGCTACCGGTATGCGCAGGACGTATCCCAATATGATCTCGCGTGAAGGTATGCGTGGGCAGGAGTTCAACGCCTGGGGGAAAGACGGTGGTAATCCTCCTTCCCATATTCCCACGGTAGCTTTTACCCGCATGCTGGGCGGCCCGTTTGATTTTACGCCCGGTATTTTCCAGATCAAGCTGGATGAATGGCGTGAAGGCAACCAGATCAACACCACTTTAGCCCAACAACTGGCGCTGTACGTGGTGATCTACAGCCCCGTGCAAATGGCAGCCGATCTGCCCGAACATTACCGCGATCAGCCGGCCTTCCAGTTTATCCGTGATGTGGCGGTGGATTGGGACACTTCCTTTGCCATGAATGGTGAAGTAGGTGATTACGCCACCTTTGCCCGCAAGGCTAAACAAAGTGGTGAGTGGTTTATAGGTAGTGTAACCGATGAAAACCCCCGCGACCTGGAGCTGAACCTCAGCTTCCTGGAAAGCGGTAAAACCTACACCGCCCAGATATATAAAGACGGGCCGGATGCGCATTGGGATAATAACCCTACCGACATTGCCATTGAAGAACTGGACGTAACGTCTGAAACCGTGCTGCCGGTGCATCTGGCGGAAGGTGGCGGGGTGGCTATTAGAATTCTGCTAAATAAATGATTAGACATTTTTTAATCTTTTGCTTAGCTTAATACGAGTATTCTTAAATTGCCTATCTCAAAGGATAATTCTTCAGTGATAAATTATAGTCCAGTCTCATTGTCTTATCCCATTGACTGGGGAATAAAGACTATACCCGTCTATAGAATTTTAGATGATCGACAATGGATGATTAACTTCTTTGAAAAAGGAGAAATTCAAGTAAGTAGCTTCAATGTTTTTCAAAACTATAAGGATGAAATGCAGGGAGACAATTCCGAAGGAGAGGCAATGATTGTTTTTCTTGATGATGAGGGAAATAGTCATGCTATTAAGTATGAGGCTGGGTTAAACGCCTATATTTTGTCAACAACAAAAAACCTTACCCCCAAGGTTATCAATGACTTTAAAGGAAAGTGTGCAATTAAAATTAATGACCCTACCTTATTTGGTTTGGAGTTATCAAAAAAGCTACCCTTCATTACCGGTGGCCTTGAAGGAAGCTGTGACTACGTAGATTCTAAAATTCAGTTTATAGAAAAGCACATTAATACTCAAAATCTAATTAATTTATTAGAAAAAAAAGTACATAATCATCATTTGCAAGAAGAACTTATCCAAGTAACTAAAGGAATGGAATTGTTTGCCAAAGACAAAAAATATCAGCATCAGTCAGAATACCGCTTTGCTTGGTTTGGAAGAGCTAATATATCCTCGAAATATATTGCTTATTGTCCAGAACTTATAGAGTATTGTGAGCCTATTGATCTTTGATTGTCCTTTAACTCTTACACCCCTCCGAAAATACGCCCCAGTTGATATCCGGCACCTCGGCATACATTTCTCTAACTTTTCGGTTGATGTCCTTTTCCATTTCGTTCCAGCTTTTGCCGTAGATCTTTTCAAAGCCCGCAAAGCCATGTTGCCAGAAATCACGCAGCTTATCCGTACCGTAGGTTTCCTTTAAATATTGCGTGATATAAGCCGCCTGGTGGTAACCGGTCATCTCATCCGTAGCATAAAAATCGGATGATAAGCTGTCCATAGGGTAAAGCAGGTCATTCTCCAGCATATAGCGGTATATCTCACTTACCCGGTAGCCATTGCAATTATCTTCCGCTAATGTGGCCAGTCCTTCGTTCATCCAATTCATTTCGGGCTGGGGATAAGTCCAAAGGATGTTGGACATCATGTGCATCAGCTCATGCTTGGTGGGTGGCTTTATGATCTTTTCCGCCTCCGGTGATTCCTTATCAGTGGTAGCCAGCAAATACACTTCCTTTAACCAGGAATTGGAAATTCCCGATGCTTCCATACCAACATGACGGAACATTTCAGCACGTGACCTTACAAAACGGATCTTGATCACCTCGTTATATTCATCTACTTCCAGGATCTTACAGTTACTTTTAATAGCCTCCTGGCATTCCTTCACAAAAGCTTCCCGGTTTTCATAGGCATAACCTTCCGCGGGAAAGGTGAATTGCAGGTTGTCCACATCCTTCACCACTTGTTGCTCAAGTTTCCAGCCCAGCTCATCGGTTCCTTCAACAGGTATAACTTCCTGTGGCTGGCTTTTCGCTTGTGGTTGATACGCCATAACAGCAACCAAAACTAAAAGCGGAATTATTTTATACGATTTCATAGCAGATTGTATTTCAGGTTATTTGCCAAAACTAGCGGCTTCCACAACATCAGCTTGTTAAGAAGTGTTAATTGTATCCCAAAAGCATGTTATAAAAAGTCCTTTCCGTTGGTCCCCATTACAGCCCTGAAAAATTTCACCTTCAACCGGTGGTCTGAACTGGAAATAGAGAAGTTCTTTCTTTGAGATCATTTCCTCCAAAAAAGCCGAGCCAGAGGTGGCGTTTTCGGCCACACAAAAGGACTGATCTTTTTGCAGCCACCCTTTCATTTTGAAAAGCACCCTGCCAATACTGCACCATGTTACGCAAAGCTGGCAGGTTTGCCTTAAACCGTTAAGTCTGGCAAATCAGGCCATACGCCTGTTTTTCAAAGCTTTAGATTCTAATTCCTAAATTGGGAAGAACAGAGGGCTACTTCTGTATGGTGCTTGCGCTCTGGATGAGCTGTACTAATCAATTAAAAATTAAAATGAAAGTATTAGTCATCGGGGCCGGAAACATGGGCTTAACATATGCCCAGGCCGTTTCAAAATCAGAG